CTGGGTGGAGAGGTGGGCAGTGCCGTTCCCTGGGTCCCCAGCACCCGTGGCTGGGTGGAGAGGTGGGCACTGCCGTTCCCTGGGTCCCCAGCACCAGTGGCTGGGTGGAGAGGTGGGCACTGCCGTTCCCTGGGTCCCCAGCACCAGTGGCTGGGTGGAGAGGTGGGCACTGCTGTTCCCTGGGTCCCCAGCACCAGTGGCTGGGTGGAGAGGTGGGCGCCATCAGTCCATAGGTCTCTGGTGTGAGTGGCTGATCAAGGGGCAGCACCACCAGTCTGTGGGCCCCTGGCTCGGGGTAGGGTAGTGATGGGTGCCACTGGACCACGATCACAAGCGGGTGGGGGATGCATGAGAGGGTTAGAGGGGCACTGCAGGTCCCTAGACCTCCAGCGTGGGTGGCTGGAGGAGGCGCAGTGGGTGAAGTGAGTGCACTTAACTTTGACAGGGTGGGGAGCACTCCTGCCTGGCTCTGGATGTGGGTACAGAGTCCCCTCTGCTTGGCTGTGCCAGGTGATGGGGGCTTCGGCTGAGAACACTGCTTGCTTTGTCTCGATATGGCCGCGCAGTTTCGGCTGGCAGGGTGCCAGTGATCTGTAAGTCTCTGTGTCCGCTGTTTTTGTACAGTCCTTCCTTCTACTTGGCACTTGGTCTGATTCTTCAGCCTTACCTTTGATGCTGAGGGTTCCAGAGTTGTCATTTATATCTGATTCACTTGTTTTCTCGGGTCTTTGTTGTACGAGAGACATTATGAGGCATCTGACTATGCTGGGATGCCCTTCTTAATATAGTCTTATGTTATTATAGAACCTACTTTTAACCCATTTATGTAAAGATACAAACAAATTTAAGCCACTGTGCTAGGACTTCGAGTGATGAGCAGATAGGGCATTACCGAGATAGAGTATAGATTATGAATAAAGTGAATATCTTATAATTTGGTCTACATAAATTGAAAGAGTCAAATTTATAAAGCCTTACACATTGTGCCTTGCATATGCATGCTGCTTGGAGCCAGAGGGTCTGATTTCGTTTGGATGCAGAGAGCATTAATTCACCACTTTAATCTTGGAAGGAGCCCTGGTAGCACAACACTGAAGCTCTCGGCTACTAACTGAACAGTAGGTGGTTCTGTGGGAAGAAGACCTGGCGATCTGCTTCTGTAAAGATTACAGCCAGGAAGACCCTGTGGGGCAGTGTGCCTGTCACATGGGGTCGCTGTGAGTCGAAAGTGACTTGACAGCATCTAACAGCAACAACCACACCCCTATTTTACAGATAAGAATGCTGCGTTTGTTATTTTCCAAAGTCACACAGCATGTAAATAATAGTCGGACTCCAAAGCCTATGTTTTTATTCTGAAACAACGTGCGATCATATAGTTTAGAAAATGTAGTAGCAAAACCCTTTAACAATGTTAAGTAGCTACAAAGGAGTCCCCCTTCTTGAGTGACACTTTAGAAAAGCAAACAGTCATTGTTTTTAGCCAGTTGTTACCAGTTTCTCAAGAGGAAATTGTTCAAGTAGAATATATGTTTGAAAACCATGATTTTAAAAGCAGTGTTTTGACATTAACAAGTGCTGCTCCTTATGTTTCCTGCATAATAATTATAGTTGATCAACTACTATTTGTACTTTTTGCAGAACTCTTAATTACATGATACAGTAGAGTTGTCAGATGGGAAATTTGATATTGATAGAATTTGAAACTTCAGAATTTTTATGGGATATATGAATACCTAGTGATATTACTAGGCTTTAAAATTAAGCATATTGTCTTAACTGTAGTGTTCTGTAATTTAGTTGTAGGGAAGATTTGCCATCATTCATTCTGCTGAATGTATGATATCAAGATGATAGAAATGGAAAGTTGTTCAATTCTTTAGACATAGAAGATTGAATCCTAAATTCTAGGCATTATTTTTTACATATACATCAACTCAGAATATTAAATGTTTCTTGATTTATAAGAAGTATATATAGTCAGTTTTAGGAATAATTGCCAACTCACACAGAACAATCTTGAAAAGATAGTGAAATGCTTAGACACTGCTGGATAAAAGCATCGTGACATATTTTTTGATACTCACTATTTAATATAAATGCCACCAGTAACTTATTTTTAAAATAAGCATATTATTATTAACTCATCTCTTTATTCAAATTGATTACTGTCATGATAAAAATAATATTACCTTCAGTAATTTTTATTGGCCAATTTTTAACATCCAGGCCATCATCTTAAAAGAATATTAAAAACTCATCTTTTATCTCTACCAGTAGCTGTTGTATATTAAAATAATGTTTTTCTTCCATCTATACATAAAATTTTAAAATATTTGACTGCATTGCGAAGGGAAAAGGTAACCTAAAAGTTATTTCCTCCACAGATAGAACAAGCAAAGAGGAGAGGCCAGCAAGTCTTCCTCTGTCCTCTGGGTATAGCACATCATCATCGGAGTCAGCTCCCAGAACCTTGACTATCAATTACTGTGGTTTGAGAGATGATTCAGAGGTAAGGCAAACTGGCAAGTGCTTAGACGATTTCCTTTCTAAGGTCAGGAGAACAAGCAAGTATTAGTTTTAGTTGTATATACTACTGGCAAGAAAAATAGTGAAACTGTGTAAATCTTAATCTCTTGTAAAAGCTCTTTCTGATAAGTAAACAGTACTTACTGTAATGTTTTAGACTGTGTTTTATGTGTTCAGGGTCCATCTTTGATGATGGTTGACTTCGAGAAATTGCCTAAATTTGTTGCTTTTTAAATTAAAGGAAACAACAATCCAGAAAATGGAAAGGATGAAAAAAATGTAAGTAACAGAAAGGGGCAACAGAAATTTATTTCTCTATAGGGAATTGGATTGGATGGCAGTAAATATAGAATGTGCATATGTGTTTCAAACCTCAAAGGCCTCTCAGTCAGGTGTGGAATTTCCTTCATGACTCCAGTGGATAATAAATCCACCTACAGTTGTGTGTTAGTGAGATGAGTCACTGTTCGCTTTCTAACGAGTCATGTAAAACATTGTTAATGGAGTTAACTGGGGATTAAAGAGGGCAGAGGGGCTTTTTTTGGGGGTTGATAGTTAATCCAAGAGTATTATCTATATTTCATAACTTATTTATCAAAATGTTAATAATATATACTTAGAAATTTTAAATATTGTTGAAGTATTGCTAGTCTTTTTTGGCAAGTTACTGTTTATATGAAAAGTAATACTCCTAGCTAATACAAATATGAAGTTACATAGGATTTTTTAAAGAGCAGTTCAAAAGAAATACAAAATGAAACTTGTGTAAGGTTACTATGCAGCATCGTACTTAAAACAACTGTAATATTCTTTTTGAAATTTTATAAGTACTGAAATAATTTATGCTTCGAAAATTAAAGGCTCATAATCGACTCTAGTTGTTTTTCCTCTTGAACCATATCGTATGTTTAGTTTATTAGTAATAACTGCACCTGTAAGTAAGAACAGTGTTCAAATCTGTTTTAGGCTCAAAAGCATAATTTCAAGAACTTAAATGCTTAATTAAAAATTTCTTTTTACTTAATATATTATTGCTGATTATATTTCAGGTTTGAAGAAACTGCAGAGTTACTGAAATGTCCAGCTCACTAACTGGAGACTTTTCTGCGGGAACTTCTCTAGGACGTTGGCTATTGTACATGTTCCATATTTTAAGAATTCTCCTTACGATTTTAATATACTGCAATATTTTTATTAAGAATTTGAATTCCATCTGGTATATGAGGTTTTTCATTCAATAATGAATAAATAATTTTTTTGAGCTATGACTATACCGCTTTACTGTATTTTACTTTTCTTAGGAAAAACTTCTGTTCCAGTACATTTCTTTTACAGAGTGAAGTCATTACAGCACTGTATTTTTGTGTTGACATTTGTTGGCAGTGTGCTAAGTAATATGTTTTTTAAAGTCCAGACTTGAGGACTGTGGTTTACATCCTGTTGGAAATACTCCAACTGGGACTTGCATATTGTACCCAGGAGGCTCTCATACATACCATCTTGCCATCTGTACTTTTGAATACATTGTAATGAAAAGTTAAATATGCTCATTGAAAATTAAATAAAACAAAAACAGTTATTTCATGCTTTGTAAAAGAGAGCAACACGTTTTCAGTTAACACTAAGAAAGTAAGGATGTGATTCTCCTTTTGTGTTTGGAAGTGAAGTAGGTCTGAAGGTTCAGTGTGAGAAATGTGTTGAGTATTTTAGTGCTCTATTCTGTAACACATTTTAAGACCAGCAGCACAGACACAGATGGTGGCCGTCCAGTATTACTAGATACACAGGGAGATTTTTTTTAATGATGGGAAGTTATAAATTTTGGTGGGGGAGAAAAGAGATGTTTATGAAAGTCTTAGATGAATTTAAATCAAGAGAAAAAAGAAAACATTTTTTAAAAAATTACTAGATTATCTTTTTAACTTTATAAATTAAAAAAAGATATTAATAATGTTGGGTAATTGTCAAGAAAAATTATTCCACTATTTGGAAGGAAAAAGGAGAGGTTCTTAAAATTCTAATACAGATAATCTGATTACATTTTTTTTATTCATCTGTTTGTATTATATGTATAATTTTATACATACATATGTATAATTGGATAAGTGTTAAATATAAATCATTAAGTTACGATTCTAAGTAGGAATATTTTTTAAGAGTCAAAGCGTTTCTGGTATTCTAATACATGTTTTGTCATTAGACTCTCAAATTCTGAACTTTTGAAAAGTTAGCATACAGAAGTATACAACCTTGAGTTTAGTGGAATTTCAATAAATATTTCTAGCATGAATGAATCTTGTTACTTTACCTTTTCATTTGCAAAAGAGGTACATTTATATAAATCAGGAGATTAGTTACAAGAGAAAAAACGACATCAATTAACTTCTGAAATATCAGTACCAGCATGGAATTATAGCACCACCTTGTGGTTTGGATGCCAATATTTTTATTAAAACAAATGCTTTCCCATAGACCATAGGAACATACTTTTTCTTTTGAGAAATTCAATTCTAATTTTAAAAAGAAAATTTTTTGAAGTTTTGTAGTGGGAGAAAGAAGAAAAAGTAAGTCTGTCTCTTTGTCTCTACTCTTCCTGTCCTTTTTTTCCCTTTATATCGTGTACATGTACACACACTAAAAGAATTTTGAAAATTCTAGTTTATTTTTAGTGTGCAAAATGTAGATATTTGTTGCAAATATAGTAAAATATATCTTGTATGTTTTCAGGAAATTTGAAGTCCACATTTTCTTATACTTCTCTAAAACAATCTTTTATCTAACAACCAGGAACTAATAAAAACAACTCATTATAACTTTTACACTTACGAAGATTCTCGCTATTTTGACAACATAAGCCTTGGGAAAAAGAAAGTGAATTTGGTTTTGTTGAGGTTACTGAAGGATAGCCAAATTACTTATTATTCTAACTCTTGGTAAATAGTAGAAAAAGTTGTTTTATCTCAGACAATATGGTAAATGATTTATAACCATAAACTAGTCCTTTTTGATTAACTTGAAGGTCTTGAGAATGTGAAGCAGAGGTGTCATGGATAGATTACCTGGAATTACATAATTAACCCTTAGTTAACTGCAATTTTCACTAGCTACATCCCGTTAATTATAAACTGGATGAAAAAGTAGTTACCATACGACTAAACAAAGGCATCAGCAGCTTGTGCTGCCCTATCTGTACTATACTCTGAATAAATCTTGATAGAACTCATAGAGGAACACCATGGAAAAAAGCTTAAAATACTAATCCGAAAAGACTAAAAAGTAGTAGTGTCAGCTATATAAAAATTCTAGGCAAAGCTAAGGACTATTAAGTTGAAAAAAATTCTATTATGTTTTTTGATTTACTCTATCATTTTTAATGAAATGTTTTAACATGGAAAATATTCCCTAAAAAATAAAACTTAAAGACTTTGGAACTGTTTAATGCCATTTATTGCTTACAGCTTTATATCGTTGACAGGCACTTGGGGAAGCATTAAAAAGTAAAAGAACCTTGTCAATTTTACAAACTGCAACACTTTTTAGCTCAAATAACATTATAGCTTTAATTTTGCTTTTTTACAATCCCCAGGTTTGTTTCTCTCCTTTCTTTGAAGCTAAAGAGGTGGAGGCGGTATGAAACTTTAAAGCTAAACTACAAAATTAAAACTTTAATTGTTGAGTCACTGAGCTTTAGTGATGTTTCTAGAGAAAATGGCAAGTTTCTTACATTACTTGAAGAGTGAAGAAAGCTGGAAAACAACACCGACAGCAGAACAACACTGAAAACGTGCAATTTGTTTTAGAAAAGTCTTAAAAATCTGTATTATCATTTATGTTTATTTTTAATACTTGTAGCAGGAATAGGTGTATATGTATATAGTGTGTGTGTTTATGTTTTTTCTCAGAAGTTCGCTAAGTCACTAATAAAAACTTTTAACTTGTTTTTTTAAATGTAAAATATTCAACTCAACGTTAAAATTAAGAGGACTTAATGATCCCAAAATGCATAAATTATTTGAAGTTTATATTATTGATGGGTATTAAAAAGAAAGGAGGAGGAGAGAATCACAGTATTAATAATCCAGGGAAGTTGAACCGTCTAGAAATTAGAGTGATGGGAAGAATGAATATTTTGGAACGAGTCCTAATTTGTAGGTCCAATCCTTCAGTTCATTTAAATTGATACGTACTTGAAGTGTATGTATCAGCTTACTAAATCATTGAGGGTGGTCGTGTATCATCAAGTAGATTCCAACTCACAGCAACACTATAGGACAGAGTATAACTGCCTGATAGGGTTTCCAAGGCTGTAATCTTTACAGAAGCAGACTGCCACCTCTTTCTCCTGCTGAGCAGCTGGTGGGTTCGAACCGCCTACCTTTCAGTTAGCAGCCGTGCACTTAATCATTGTGCCACCAGGGCTTCTTCACTGGGTGTAGCTCTTCAATTTATTTGGTGTTTAAATCCTGAGAGATACTTGAGGGAATACACCAGAGTTGCTCTGTACCCGTTTCCTTATGTCTGTATTGACTGGATTGGCCAATAAGCTCCTTCGTGTACTACCACCACTTTTCACTTCTGTAGTTGACCAGTAGAATCTACCCAAAGGAGTCCCTTTCTGGGTCCTCAGGAGATGGGGTTTCCACTTTTGTTGTTACTTTGCTGTCTCTGAAACTTCCGAGATTTTCTAATAATGTATCTCTGTTAAGAATATTATGAAATAAAAGTTTAAAAATAAGGTAATTATAAATGTGAAACTATTACTGTGAATGAAACCGGGATGGATTATTTTTACACCCCTTCCTGGTTTTTTTCTTTTCATTTTCCCCTTCGTCCGCTTTGATGAGGAAGCATTACCTCTCCAAGTCCTAATTCAGGTGGTTTGTTTTATTTGTTTTAGTGTCCTTTGCTATAAAGAACGTGACACAGTATCCCACTCAGCCAGAGATAACCACTACTGCTACTAACGCCCCTCCCAGCAACCTAAGTCCTATCCTTTATACTGTTCACACACCGTCCTTTATACTCTCCCTTATCCTATTCCGGCCATTCACCTCCTTACCCATTGTCACTGCATTGCCTCAGTTTCTTCCTCATTCTTTGCTTGCACTATTCACTGGTTTCTCTGCTTACAGTCTTGCTCCCTTCAGTCTGTCCACACTGCTACCAAGTGTGTTTTCTGAAATGTTTCTTTGAATATGCCACGTCACCACTTAAAGCGTTATGTTTGAGTTTCTCTTATCCCTACTTGAGCAAAGTCCAAATTTGTTACCCTGGACAACAGAGACCTTTTTCTTTGAAGTCCTTGTCTGCCTTTCCTGCATCACCTCCAACGATTTTATATAGAGTCTATTCACAGTGCTCTTTTAAATCTGTGCCTCTGCACAATACCCTTTTGCCTAGAATGACTTTCCCTTACATCTGGCAAATTCCTGCGTATACTCAAAGACACTGTACCTTCCTTGAAAAGGTTTTTCTCAGCTACAGAGGCCAAATCAAATGCTTCTGTCTCTTTGCTGTCTTAATGCTTTGTTTATACTTTTGCTTTTTGTACTTATAGCTATTATTTATTTACATAACTATGATCTTTGTCAGACTAAAAACTGAAGGACAGGACTTTCTCCTAAAAAGTAAATACTGAATGCCTAACATTTATTTACTTACTCATTTACTTATTTTTTCATTACAACCTAAGTGGTGCTTAATGATTGTTGACTGAATGAATATTGAATAAATTATAATCAAATTTCTGAGATAAGTGAGATTTTTATCAAGTTGAAACGAGGCTTAGTCAGTCATGTCCTATTATTTCTATAGAAGAAAGATATTGACAGAATGAAGATGAAATCAGCATGAATTCTAGAAAAGAGTTACTCAAAGAAGATTCCTGATCAAAAGGGGTAAATGCAGGAGAATTGCAAATTCTCAATGGAATCCGGAATTTCTGGAGCCATTGAGGCCGGATGAACCCCCAAAACTATTGCCATGAGATAAAAGTTTAAGCCAAAACTATCCCAAGTCTTTAAACCAAAAAAAAAAAAAAAAAAGCTTAATTAGTAAAGTACATGTGCCTTGAGCATTGTACTCTTGTAAAGAATTATCTGTGTGAGGTCAAACTGACAATAGCAACTCAAAAGGTTGGATGAGAAACTTAGGGGACAGTGAGTTTAAGATAATGGTGGTGGAATAATCTGCAAAAGGATAGCAAGAACAGTAGCACAGCTTGAAGAATGTAATCAATGTCACTGAATTGTACATGTAGAAATTGTTGAAATGGTGTATCTTTGGCTGTATATACTTTCACCAAAATAAAATTTAAAAAAAAATGATGAATACCTTGTGTCTTGGTTATCTAGTGCTGCTGTAACAGAAATACCACAAGTGGATGGCTTTAACAAAGAGAAATTTATTCTCTCACAGTCTAGTA